GGGACCCCCTCCACCGCGCCCCACCTGCACCCCGCGCCGCCCCGCGGTCCGCGGCTGACCCGCTTTCCGGCCTGCGGGCCCCTGGATCCCTACCTCCCCGAACCCGCCAAGCCGCCCGTCAAGTACCTGCAGGACCTCGGCTCGGGCCCGGCGCTCAACGGCGGCCACTTCTACGAGGGCCCCGCGGAAGGTAACGCGCGGCGCGGGGTGGCGCGCAGCCCCGACCCACTCTGCCTCCCTCCCGGGCCCGCCGGGCCTCCCCACCTCGCTCTCGCGTCCGCTCAGGGCTCCGCTGCGTCCCTCAGCAGCTCCGCCGTCGCGCTTGGGGCCGACAGAGGTCAGCGCGGTGCGGGGGTGCAGAGCCGTGTGCCCCGGGCGCCCCGTGCCTCGGAAGCCAGCAGGCAGGCGAGGAGGGAGGAGCGGCCACCGCGCGGGGCCCGCTCGGGTCCGAGGGCGCCGGGCGCCGGGCGCCGGGCGCCGGGAAGGAGCGATCACGCTTGGCCCCAGTGGCGGCGGAGCTGTTACCCATCCAGAAGCCCGGGGTGCGGGCCCAGGGCGCCCCACTGGGCCCGTGGTCCCGAGGCGGGTGAGAAGCGCCGCTTTTGTGTCTGGAGCCTCGTGGGTGGCCGAGCCGGCTCCGCCGTGGGCTGCGGCCTGGCCTCTCCGGCCTCTCCGGCCTCTCCTCCCGGCCTCTCCTCCCCAGGCCCAGCCGCTGGGGAAGGGCGCTGCCTGCGGGGATGGCGCTCTGCAGAGTGGCCGCGTTGGCCCGGCAGGACCATTCTCCACACAGAATAACCATGTTTTTATTTCTCAGACTGACCTGGCCTCCCGTCCTTAGGCGCGGTGATGGCCGCCCTTCTCACAGCCCCGGCCTCCTCAGCGGATCATCACCACCCGGCTGGCAGGAGCACCCCGCCGCCGGGGGGTGTGGGCGGGTAACCCCTGGGCGCCTGGGGCTCCTGGGCCGCTATCCCGAAGGCCAGTGGGACCGTGCCCGCTCCAGGAACACGCCTGGACGCCTCGGCCTGGCGGGCAGCTCGGCCGCCCACCGCATCGACTGACCTGAGAGCGCCTCGGCGCCGGGGCCGCCGCATCTGCGCTGCCACAGGCCGCTGCTTGGGCCCAGAGCTGGACCCTCCGAGATCCGCTCCTGTCCGCCTCCGCCCCGCTGGCGCCTCGCGGGCCTCCGCGGAGAGGCCCGGCAGTCCCGCCTTCGCCCAGTCCGGCGGTGGGAATCGGTAGGGTAGGGGAGGGCGGGGAGGTGTGCGGGGGTCAGTGAAGGAAATGAGCGAGTCCGCGGAGCAGCTTCGTGTCTGTGCCCTTTAAAGAGGCTCTCCTGATAAAAACCACAGTTGGGACTTAATGAGAAGCAGTTGGCCTGGCTCCTCTGATCCCAGCCAGACGGCGGCCGCCGCGCAGCGCCCTGAGCACCGCGGGCACAGGTACCCGGCCTGACTCGCCGCGTCCAGGCGTCGGGCCGTCCTGGCCGGCAGGACCCACCCCGCGCCTCGCATCCCTGTTGGGCCGCTGTTGACCTCCGGGACCGGCCTACAGCGCTGGAGCAGACCAGCGGCGGCAAAGAGCCCAGGGCAGCGAGGTGTCCACAACGAAATGTGTGGAAAGACAGCAAGGGGGGAAGCGAACACCCATAGCAGAGCAAGGGAAATTGAACAGAACCGCGGAGGACAGAAGCGGGAAGAGACGTAAACACTTAGCAGCCGGTGAGCTGAGCACAACAGAAAAGAATCAATGAAGAACAAACGAAAATTAGAAGCCAACGGAAGATCGAACCAAGCGGGTAATGGAGAAGGAGGGAAAGAACGAAAAGAGGAGGAGCGGGCCAAACGAAAGGGGGGGAGGGCACCCCAGAAGAGTACAGAACAGCACAGTGGGGATAAGTAGAAGGAGAAAAAGTAATGGTGCAGTTGAGCCCAGGAGAGGCCAAACGAAACGGCGGCCAGCGAGGCGGCGGCGCCCGGGCGGAGATGCCTCTCCCCGCTCACCAGCCGGGTGCCGGCCTCCGAGGCCGGGGCTGCCGGGCGGGCGCCCAGGGTCCCTTCGGTGGGGCGACCTCGGGGAGACGCGCAGCGGAGCACGGCTGCGAGGGAAGCTCGACTCGCGGGGTTCGGGACCTGCAGTCTACGTGGTGGGAGGTGGAGGACAAAAGGGGACCCCGCCTTACTTAGCGTTTTTTAAAATAATGGCCCCGGAGCGTTCCAGTTCAGACCAGTGAGCGCGCAGCTGCGCCCCATGTGCGTGGCGATCTTGGCCGAAGCCCGGCATCGCGCGCTCGGGAGCCTGGCGCGCTCGGGAGCCTGGCGCAGCGCGCGCCTCTCCTGCCCTCCGCAGTCTGCCCCGCGCAGCTCTCGACCGGCGGCGTCCAGAGCGGGCCAGCCACCCTCGCGTCCTCTGCGCACGGCTGCGGCCGGCGGCCGTCCCGCCCTGCCAGCGGCCTCCCAGTCTGAGCCCTACCTGGGCTCCCGGACCTCGGGACGTGCCTGCCTCCCCGAAGGCCCGGAGCCAGCAACCCGCTAACGGCGCTTGCCGGCGTTCACCCTGCAGACCGCGCGGTCCTCGAGGGGTCTGAGTCACAGACACCTGGCTGTGAGCTCCATGCCAAGGATATGAACCTTTAGGGAGAGGTTCCTCCCTGGGGCCTCCTACATGTGCTTGTTTTTTGATGCACACCGGTTTCCAGTGTTAACCAGAGCGGCAGAAGCTCTGGCTGCAGAGAGCTCTTCCACTAGCTGGAGACACTCCGCAGGGTGCAAGACTGCCCGAAGCTGAAAGCCAGGCGGCTGAAAGGCAGGCTGAAAGCTAAAGCCCGTGCGCTCTCCATGGAGGCCTCAGTGCAGTGGGGCTGCTGATGGGAGACTGGAGCTAAGCCGTGAGTGGTGTGGGTGCAGCCAGCAGGAGCCAGCTGGGAGCCCTCCTGATTGGGGGTGCTCTCAGGCTTGAGAGGCGAGTGAGCCAGGGGCAGCAGCTGCCTGGGAGCTCCTTGCGGGGGTCCTGCCTTTCAGGGCCCACATAGTGCCTCGCTGGTTTTGTGGTTGTGCAGACCTTGGCCATTCTGGCACTGAACCCCAAGTTCTCAGTGTTCTTCCCCTTTAGCACCCATTGTCCCTGACAGCACAGGCTTCCCCCAGCAAGCTTCGCTGGAAAGCGCCGGTTTCTGTTCCTGGTCTGCCTTCCTTGATTACTCCCACTCCACTCTTCTGAGCCTGTTCCTCAGGAGGCTGCTTGGTGTCTATGAGGTACACCCCTCTCCCCCAAAGTGAGGAGGTGCTACCTGGCATCCTCCAGGTAGAGGAAGGTGGTCTCAGGTGAGGAAGAGGGATTTCTCTGAACCCCGAAAGGGCTGTGGATGGGGCAGGCATGAAGGCCAGCAGGCTTGGCTCATTGGGGCAGCAATTCTGAGAAGCCCAGCTGGCCTTTCACCCCTTGACCCTGCTAACTGGGTAGCTTAAGGTCAGAAAAGCAAGTCCTAGAGCCCCAGATCTGGGCAGATCCTACTGGGACAGGACATACACTGGGGGCCCAAGAGGCAATGAGCAAGCCCCAGAGCTTTGGGGAGCACTCAGTGGTGACATCCATGCTCCCCCGGGCCCTCTCCTAAGCCACTCTCACCCTTTTATGCCTGGAGTCCAGCAGAACCACCCCCTGACCCCAAGAAACCAAACCCCTCCACTCGGGGCTGCTGTGGGGAGAAGGGGTACCCCCTTCGGTCTCCTGGTCATTTTCAATTATTTGGTTCAACTTCCTTGAGTCCTTCTTCCTACCAAAGCTACCAAGATGCCTTGTCCCAGAGTGGAAGTCAGGAGCTGGAGCATTTTCTGTGTGTGCCAGGGCTACACACAGCCCCAAGGGCCAAGGGCGCCCCCACCCCACCCCCCAGGCCTCCAGGACACACAACATGGAGCTTATTTCACAGTCTGGGTGGTCCTGGGAGGCCACGGCCGCCTTCCGGAGGAAGGGACCTTGCACATTTGTCCTCCACAGTGCAGACAGGGACTGAACCCATAAGCCCTTTCTCTAGTCCCGTCCTCCTCTGACACAGCTGTGATCCCAACACCAGCCGCAGGGCAGGGAACAAACTGCCTCTCGGTGCCAGCTCGCTGGGCCTCCTGGGGACCGGCCCGCTGGGGATGGGCCCAGGGCCAGGGAACTGGCTGTGTGAGTCAGTGGGGCGTCTTTGTGGCGTCTCCCCTGCCATCCCAGCGGACTGTTGAGATTTCATGGCGACACCGCTGGGGGTCCTTGCCAGAGGGGGAGAGGGCGGGGGTTCAGGGTGACCTATTTTCACCACCACGAGCTTTCCCAGCTTTCCTAGTGACGGAGTGAGGGCTGGCATGTCAGAGCAGGCAGCTGGGAGCTGCTCCCTCCGCAGCCAGGTCCGCCTGCTTGTTCACCACGGGCCACAGGGGCCATCAGAAACTCCTGAGGACAGAGGAGAATGTCGGGGTTGGGGTCTGTGTCCTGTTTTGACCCTGGTGCCCCAACTCTCCTCCCAGCAAGGCCCATTGCCTGCCTCTGATGCAGTCTGTACTCAGACATCACAATTTCCTTCTGGAAGCTACTTTGCCCCATCTTGCCCTTCAAACCACAGATCAGGGGGCGGGGGCGGTTTGACATGGCCGGAGGACTTGGGGTTCAGGGAACCAGCTTGGGGCAGACTGAGCATCCCTGACAGTTGCCAGCCTGGTCCTGGGAGCGGAGGCGTGGCCATGATGGCATGGGAACAGGACTGCAGATGAGGGACAGGGCCCTTCCTGGCAGGGGTGGGCCATGTCACCCCCCCCAAGATTTTAATGTGCCCGTGCTTGGCCCTGCCGTGGTACCCATCCTGGCACCTCCACCCTGTGGGATGCCCCGCCACAGCACTTCCCCGAAATGAACCCCTCCAGCGCCGGCAGAGCAGATCCGTCCAGACCACAGAGCACATGGCTCCCCAGGGCCCCCTCCCCAGCTGGAGACTCAGCAGGCAGGCTCTCCATGCCAGGCTCCCATGGAGGGTGGCTGTCTGGAGGAAGGGAAGGGAAAGGAAGGGGGAGGCGGGGACTGAAGCGGCAACGTTCTTCCCCTCCCTCCATTCCACCCACAAAACCCCGTTCGGTTTCCATCCTCCTTTTTGTGTTTTCCATTGCAGCTGAGGAGAAGGTCGCCAAAGCTGCCAGCTTTCCTCCGCTACCCTTGGACTGCCGAGGGGCCCCCAGAGACGGGGCCTCTAACTTGCAAGGCTCCCCAGGCCCCTGCCTGGCCAGCCTGCGTGTGCCCCTGTCCCCGGGACTCCCTGACTCCATGGAGTTGGCCAAGAACAAGAGCAAGAAGCGCCGTAACCGCACGACCTTCAGCACGTTCCAGCTGGAGGAACTGGAGAAAGTCTTCCAGAAAACCCACTACCCTGACGTGTACGCCCGGGAACAGCTGGCCCTACGCACGGACCTAACGGAGGCCCGGGTACAGGTGAGGGTGCCCGAGCCCGGGGCTCTCCAGCTGCTCCACTGCACGCTAGCACCCCACAGGGCAACCCACCCCTCTGGGGCTGACCCTCCGTGCCTGCTTGCTGTGGCCACAGGCGCCCAGCCCGGGGGAGGCATGTACAGCACCCCAAGTCCTGTGTGCAGGCTAGCTCTGTTGCTGATTCGGGCGCACCCTGGATCTCCCATCTGGGTTTCCTGATTGCGGACCAGTGAGGAGAGAGCTGTGTATTTTCGAGGCCCACAGAGGAGGCAGCATTCTGGAAGCAGTACATGGCTGCACTCACTGGGGGCTGCTCTTGCGTGGCTGCTCAGAGTTGGGGGGTCCCCCTGCTGTGGGTGGGGTGTCTCAGGATCAGGGATGCTCAGTTGTCCAATGACTTTCATTTGCTGACCCGGGCAAAGGGCAAAGGGCAGTCACAAGCAAAGCATGTTGGGAGGAAGAAAACCTGCGGACACAGGAACGCAGGCTTCAGGAAGAGTCTGGCGCACCATGTGTGTGGCTGTCGCTACACAGAAAGCAGCCTTTGAGCCTCTCAGAAAGTGAGGAGCCCTCAAGGCAGAGGGGTCCCCGTCTCCAGGACAGAGGGTTCAGCCAGGACATTGCTCATGTTGTGCATGGGTCATGCGAGGCGGGGCTGCCTCTGTAGAACATGGGGGTGGACCGGCCGGTCTGTAGGGCCAGCTGCCCCGGCAGAGAGGGCCCCTTGGCTGCTGCAGCGTAAGGCCGGGGGACTTGGGAGGTTTCCCCTTCTCTGCTGCTCTTCCCATTCCCTGTTCCTCCCAGGTAGCACCCAAAACAGGCTTCCAGGACTGTGGCCCAGGCCGCGCCAGGGTCTGGGCCATCAGAGTGGGAGGCCCAGCATCCAAGGCAGCCCCAGATTACAGAAGCCAGAGCTGCTTCAGCACAACTGTGGGCTAAATAGCTGCCCCCTGGAACGGCTTTGAAGAAGTGGCAGACACCAGCCCCTTCATCTGCTAGGCCCTTTGAACCCAGAGTTGGGGGGGGGGGCCAGGGCCCCCTGGGCATGGGTAGGGACTCTGACAGGAGCTTGACACCCACCCACAGCCCACCGGGGAGGGGGATCTGAGGATCGTACACTGGGCCATGCAGAGGACAGGTCCAGAGCGCAGACAGGGGCTCCAGGAGAGAATGGGGGTGACAGGAAGCACGCCTAGTACTCAGACTTATTAGCTCCAAGCTCCTTCATCTGACTGCAGGGAGGGAGAAGAAAGACAGGCGAGGTAGGGGCAGGTGGGGTGGTCCTACCTAGACTTGCCCCAGGGCTCTCTGGGCATTTGTGACCTGGGGGCAGCTCCTTACCTTCCAGGGCCTCACGGCCTGCTGGAGCAGGAATGAGTGTGGGCGATGGGCAGCCATAAGGGCCCGGGGCAGGTCTCACACACACACACACACACACACACACACGCACACGCACACACACACACGCACGGCTACTTGTGTTCCCTAAAAAGTCCATAGATCGTTTGGGGCTGGCTCGGTTGGGCTTGATATTGCACTGTCTACTCCAGAGCCTGCCACAACTGCTTATTAAATGACAGAAATGCAAAACACATGCACCAGTGTGCTTAAATGTCAGTCACAGGGCGGACACCAAGCACCATCTCAGATATGTGGACAACAGCAGATAGGGCGAGAGCTCACGCAGAACACAAGATGGCCGGGGACGTGGGCAGCGACGTGCCAGGGAGGGTGCCCAGCTCAGATGGGCATGGAGGGCGGGCGGGCAGGGAGCGTTCCACAGGTGAGCGAGGGGAGAGCGCAGGGTAGGGGTGAGGGAGCTTGCTCAGCGTGGGCTGGGCTGAGTCTCCAGGGAGGCCCAAGGGCTCAGGCAGGACCAGGACCTGCAGGACCAGGACCTGGCAGAGCAGAGAGCTGCAACATTCCTCAGATGCCTAGCGGCTGGGAGACTGGAACAGGAGATGGGGGGGGGGGGCAGGAGGCGGCTAGAAACCTCACCCATGGGCTCTGACCCCTGCGAGCTTTCCCAGACGACCACGTTGGAGAACCCCAGAGAAAGGCTCAGCCTGGGAGTTGGGTGTGGGGGCCCATCGCTCTGGGTGGGCCCTGGGGACAGTGTAGATGCCTAAACTCTTACAACTCAAGACCCTCCGGCCCAGAGCCAGCTCCCCACCCTGCAGCACACAGCTACCAGCTCTCTGCCCAGCCTCTCCCGACTGGCCCCCAGGTCTGGTTCCAGAACCGCAGGGCCAAGTGGCGGAAGCGGGAGCGCTACGGGAAGATCCAGGACGGGCGGAACCCCTTCACGTCGGCCTATGACATCTCCGTGCTGCCCCGGACGGACAGCCACCCCCAGGTGAGAGCCCACGCTGCCCCTGAGCTGGGACGCGGTGTTCCCTGGGGTAGGCAGCGAGAGTGTGGGCTCGGGCCCTGAGGCAGCATGGGGCTGCGTGGGGTGCTTACATTCCTTCCTCTGCGAAACGGGGATCTTGTCTGTCTCGTGAATGGTGCAGTGAAGCCTCAGACAGGGCTCATCGAAGAAGAGCTCCTGAGCAGTGTGGCGGCCGGAGGGCTCGGCTTCCAGACCTGGGCCAAGAGCAGGCATCTTGTGCCACTGCAGGAGGAGGAGCGGAATCGCAGCCGCCCTGGAGTGACAGGGTGCGGGGCCTCCTGCCCTCCTAGGTGACCCTTGTTTCAGCAGCAGGCAATTAAGGCAGGATTTGCAGGGCCCGGGGGAAGAGCACAGACAGGGTGGTGCTGATGCCTCAGCTGGTGGGGGGAATCTCTTATAAAACAAAAAAGCAGAGGCTTCTTGGAAAGTGTGGAGCCCAGCAGGGGGCCCTCTACCCCCCCCCCCCCATAAAGAAGCGCAGCAGCGGAGATGCTGATCCTGCCATCTTTCTCTCTCGCAGCTGCAGAACACCCTGTGGCCCAGCGCAGGGCCTGGCAGCCCTGGGGGCCCCTGCCTCGTGTCTCCGGAGGGCATCTCCTCCCCGTGCATGTCTCCATACTCTCACTCTCATGGGAACGTGGCCGGCTTCATGGGGGTGCCGGCCTCCCCCAGAGCCCACCCTGGCATCTACTCCCTTCACGGCTTTTCCCCCGCCCTGGGGGGCCACAGCTTTGAGCCCTCCCCGGATGGCGACTATAAGTCTCCAAGTCTCGTGTCGCTCAGGGTGAAGCCCAAGGAGCCACCCAGCCTGCTGAACTGGACCACGTGATTGGCCTCGTGGACACAGACTGAGCGGTCACCACCATTTCCATTCCCAGCTGCTCCCACCCCACCAGGGCCTGGATGCCGGAAAGGAGGCAGCTCGGCCTCCAAGCCCCGGAGGGCTCTGGAAGGCCCAGGCCGAGCAGCAGGGACCCTCAGCCTCCACGGGGAACGAGCCCTTTCCTCTTAGAACAGGATGGGACTGCTCAGGAGGAAGGGGGCTTCAAAGCAGGTCGGATTCTTCCTGCCCCAGCCTGGGGCCCCTCACCCAAATTCTGGGCTGGAGGAAGACACTGGTCGGCTTCCTTTGAAAGTCATCCCTCCAGTGGACTCAGCTTAACTGGCTCCTCATTCAGGAAACCCAGGAAAACGGGAGGACGCAGTTGAGCCTAGAGGAGCGCCACCGCCACCGTCCTAGGAGAATGGGCTCTTGCAGGATCCTAGCCTCACCGCCTGCCGCCACCAGGGGGCGCGCACCCAGCGTCTGGCTGTGAGACGGGCTGGAAGCCAGAGGTCAGTGTAAAAGCCCCCTTCTCCTCTGCTCCGGCCATCCCTTATTCCTGCCCTGTGCAGCCTCCTGAAGCATGCAGAGTCACTCTGCCCATCCGAGGGGTCAGAAATCCCATCAGAAACTACCAAATATTTCAGCTCTTTTCCAAGGGAGCAGGCCAGAACTAGCTGTGGAAACCATTGCTGTCTGGCTCACTCACTGATCGTGGTAGGAAGGAAACAGATTTCTAGCTCTGAGCCCCTGAGATCCTGACAACCCCTCCTCCCCACCTTTTTGTAAAACTACTTTTGTAAAAAATGTGCTGCCCAGCATAATAAAAAGGTGGCAATTATTTTTTAGACCAGCTGTGTATCCTCCAGGTTTGGTACTTTGGAGCTGGTCTCTAAAGTGGGCTCGGCCCAGCAGGGCTCTGGGAGGCAGGGGATGGTGGCCCAGGGCCTGCCAGGGGTCTCTGTGGCCTCGGCAGGTGAGGGCAGACAGGAGTAGGACCCAGTTCTAGGTTTTCAGGGCTCAACTGGAAGGGAAAGCTGGGGCAGGAAGGGGAGTGAGAAAGCAGAGAGAAGCTGGTGACTGCTGCTTGGAGGGAGGTGGAATGGAAGATGGGGGAGCCTACAGAGCGACCACATGGGGAGGCGGGGGGGGGGGGGGGGGGGGGGCTAGCTCCCTTCTCCCAGATGCCTCAGGAGCCAGCAGCTGCCTGAACTGTGGGGTAGAGACAAAGGCCAGGACTCTTCTTTCTTGTGGTGCCAGAGTATTACCCTTTCTAGCCTTCAGCCCCATGCTCTGCCTTATCTGAGGCCTGAAGGCAGGAAAACACAGGCCCGGCCCTCCCACCTTCCCAGGAAACCCACATTGCTCATAGCTCCCCCAGCTGGCAGTCCAGGCTCCCTCAGCTCCAGCTCTGCCTCCCCTTCAGGCACAGAGAGGCCCAAACACAGACTCCCAGGGACAGCACTCGCCCTCTCTTGGGCTGGGCTTCCTGCCCCAGAACTCACTGTGACAAGACAGAAGCATCTTGGGTGCTGGCCCTGAGGTCCAGGCCCGAGCCTGTGTCTGCGGGCGGGGCAGAGCCGGGCAGGAGCGAGAGGCACCCCAGGGACCTCTGATAACGGAACCACCTTCCCCAGCTCCTCCATACTGAATGGGCTCAGATCTGTGTTTCTAACTCTGGGCTCAGGCCCTACACTGCTGGTCACTTCACCAGAGGTGGCCAGCAAGACCTTGGACTTTCGGTCTCACAAAAGGTCTGAGATGCAGAGCAAGATTAGCTCCTTCCAAAAATATCTGAATGCCCACTCTTGTCAGGCACTGTACTGGGTGAGAGATGAAGCAAAGGTCACGGGTCAAGAAGCACATGGAGGCCTTTCGCTCAGCTCACAGTATAGAGATGGACAGAGGAAAGGAGGTCAGTGAAAGCCAGGCAAAGGGGCCAGGCGTGGGCCAGGGAGCATCAGCACTTCCAGAATGGGAGGGGCGGGCTCTGTGCTGGCTGGGCTATGTGGGGGAGGGTACCGGAGACTAGCTACTGGCTCCCGTCCAGGGGCATCTGCCCACAGCTCATATTTTTCTGTCCTGTGACAGCTAAATGAAGAGAAAGCTAACTTTACAACCACCCACTTCACACATAATGAATATGAATGGGCATCCCGGAGCCTATTCCGGGGATTATCTGTGAGCTAACAGTTCTCCCTGACTGGGCCATCCCCCGCTGTCCCCTGGCTGAGGACTCAGGCAGCCCTTCCACCTGCTTCCCATTAGCCAGCCCGTCCTCCCCTTCTCCCACACGTCTCAGACTTCTGGCTGCTGAGACACAGCCCCCAGGTCTCCAGGTGCCCCAGCTCCCAGCCTCACTGGAGGCCACCTCAGCCAAGGCCCTTATTTCCCCAGTCTGGGGCTCTAGGCACCCCTCTGGAAGGGAGAAAGAGGACCCTAGAGAAGATTCCAGAGGCCTTAATCTTGGCCCTGCCAGGTGCATGGGCACCAGGGCTGGACTGGAGGGTCCCAGCAGAGGGTCTTTGTCTTTGGTCTTTGGGAAATGCTTATTTGAAGCATTCAGTCTCCCTTCCCTGTCATTTACATATTTGCATATACACATAATGTTTACATATGCACGTATGCCATTTACCTATCTCCCAACCATTCACTATTAGCCTGAATGGCAACCCCAGCAGCAGCCACCAGGTTACCAGGAACTGGGCGCGGCCTGTGTCAAGCAGAGGGAGGATAGCTGCAGCCCTGGTAGACAGCCTGTGCTACCATTTCCAGGCAGGCAGTAGCCGGAACCCTGCTCCGAGGCTGGAGCCTGCCCGCCCCCTCGGCTGCAGCTACCCCCACCCCTGCAGCAGGAGCCGGCTGGGATCCTGGCTGGGATCCGTGGGCCCTACAGGATGTCTGTCTCTGCACCTACCTCGTTACTTGCTCTGTGACCATCTGTCCATCCGACCCGTGAGCTGGTCATGAGAAGTGAGGATGGTGTGCTGTCCACCTGGACCCCCTGGCACCTACAACGGGGCCTTCAGGGCATGACGGCAGGGTTGCTACTGGTCTGACTCTTCAGAGGCTCCCGTTTGAGCAGTGAGCTGGGGCCAGGGGACAGGAGGCCTAAGCCATGGCTGTGGTCCTTGACGGGGAGGAAATGGATGCACACTCATAGGTTAGAGTTGGTAGGATGGTAAGGATAGTCGCCATTGTAAGTCAGCCTGTATGTGCGCCCATTTTTATTTGACCTTCAGTCATGAGGGGTTTAAACCATGATAGGATGAAACCAAATTTAGACAGATGAGTCAACTGAGATTTAGAGCTTGAATAATATTCCTCCGTGAGTAAAACTCAGAGCCTGCACCAAGAACTGGGCTGTCTCACTCCCAAAGGGCACAGCCCGGTTTTACAGCGAGTGGAGGCTGACCACACGGAGTGCCAGGTGAGGGCCACGCTGCGTCTGCACTAGGCAGGCCAGGAAGCCAGCCTCGGGGATGGGGCGCAACAGGCATGGCGGGGAGGCACCGGGAGACACTCAAGCTCCAGCTGAAGAGGGAGAAAGGCAGCGGTGAGCACCCCGAGACCTTCAGGAGGGCGCATTCTGGGCACATCAGAGCCTAGGCCAAGGCCACGCCTGGGTGGCGCCGAGACCTAAAGCAGCTGCTATTTGCCAGAATCTTCCTGCTTGAGCAGACGCTAAGCACGAGGTGGATGAGGAGCAAGTGAAAGCGCCACGGCACGCGGAGGGGCACGGACATGGCGCAGAGATGGAGCACACGCGGGAGCCGCGCTTGGCGCAGACCCGGGCCGGGCTCTGGCTCTCGGTATTCTGCGAACTTGGGCAGGTTCTTAACCCGTCCTGCGCTATTTCTTAGCTGCAAGATAGAGACTGTCCTTTCGGGGTTAAGTGCTAAGATATCAGTGGTCAGCACATACTAGGACTGGACACTCGGACTGTGTGGGACGAGGCTCGGGAGCTACGGTGCCCGGCACCTATGTGGCACACGCTGCGTGGGAGCTCTGGGTTAACCGGGACGAGTCCCATTTTCAGGGTGATACAGTCATGGAGGTGACCTGCGCCCTGAGTCTGGTTAACGACTATCCACACTCAGGTACACCACCAGCCTCCACGTACCCTGCCACCTCATGACCCCCGATGAGACAGAAGCCAGAGCTGGGATGGCCACTTGCTTCAGAGCATTTTTTCTGTACAAAGACCTGGGTTCAAGTTGCCAACAGCCACGAGCACACTCAGTGGCCTTGATGAGGTGCCTCCCCACCCGGGCAGGCTCGGGGGTGCAGGGGTTTTACCGCCAGGCTTTGGGCCCTGCAGCTTAGATATTCTATGTGATATTCTGTATACAGGTTTATATGGAGAGATTTACAATCTTTGCAAACCAAGGGTGGAAACGGCACCTCTGGCTAAGGGAAGCTTCAGAGGGGAGACTGGGAAAATCAGGAAAGGGTAAAGGCAGCCAAAGTCTCAGTCAGACTAATTCAGTAAGCAAAGCTACCTGAGGAAATAAAAACATGTTAAGTCCATCTACCCACGTTGAAGTCTCAAGGTAAGTGTTTCCTATTGGCCCTGACAAAAACAGAAGCTCCATCAACCACACATGAATGATGTGGCATCTCCCTCTCAAGCAAGCTACTTAGGAGCCAAAGGCCAACAGATGGGGCTGCCCATCTCATAGGTCTGACTTTCCGCCGGCTCCCGTTGCTGCTCCTAGCCACGCGGGCATGCAAGGCTTGTCCTGGAAGTCCAGCGTGGGGCTGGGCTTGAGGCTCAGCATGATCCAAGACGACACTCAACCAAAGAACCAAAAAGGTACATTTCCTTTGCAAGTCAACACTCCTGGAGACTTAAGATCCCATGCACATGGCCTCTAGTTAAGACAAGGCATCAATTCATCTGAAAATGAACACCCTTTCCTCAGTGTAGTGTTAAGATCCTCAGAAGTGCTGCCTCCGGGCTGAGGTAGTGGAGGCAGACGTGCCCAGGGTTCCTGAAGGCCCGGTGCAGGCTCCAGGGGCTCCCGGGCCGCCCAGCACTCCCACTGGGAAGCTCACTCCTGATGGTCTGCTTCCCAGGCTCTGAGCACCCACGTTTCCTCAGCCCTGCCACCTGTCCCGTGAAGGCCCCTAACAGGGACTCCCTCCTTGCCAACCCCTCCCTAGCACTGAAATAGGTTTGGCTGAGGCCAGCTCAAGGTTAAGATCCAGCCAGACTTGGGGCTCCTCATGCCATCAAACTCAGGGGTGCAGGGCAACTGGTCACTCCAGGAACCAGGGCTTGAGCTGGGCTGGAGCCATCCAGACTGACGTGGGGTGAGAGCACTCTACGTAAGAAGCAACCCCAGACCCCTCAGGTAACAAGGCGGGGCAGCTTGGCAGGGACAAGTGGGTGACCCAACAACGCGGGCAAGAAAACCCACTTCTAGACCTGAGAAGACATTCCAAGGCTGTATTTCTTGTAGGAAAGGCAGAGAATTACTTTTGCTTCCTTTTAATGTAAACAGAATACACAAACACATAAAAACCCCAGCATGACACGAGAGAACACAGATTACATACAGGTCTTTATAGACCCTTGCACACCAAGATGGCAGCTCTGGCTGAGGGGAGCTTCTCTTCCTACCCCAACCCTGGCCAAAACCCAAGTGCTGAGGCAGCTGTAGGAGACTCAGCAATTGTTTCTGGATGAAACTCAACAGGAGACTGGAATGACATCAGAAAACCCCCAGAGCAAAACCAAGATGCCGACTTTCCGGTCCTGGCCCCGGCCTCACATCCTTATCACTGACACGTATCTGAGGAAGTCGGAGTGACCTGAAATTCAGGTGGGATGGGCTTCTCGCCCATCTGCGCTTTCCAAGCTTGGGCCCACTGGAAACGAGGGGCAGCCGACTGCGTCCGAGAGCCAAGGGTGGGAGCGTGAAGGAGAGAGGTCCCCAGCAGAGGGGCCGCTCCTGCAAAGGATGCTGGGATCAGCAAGAGGCTGAGGCTGGATTCGGCCACAGGCTGGTGCTGACGGGGGCCCAGTGGGGCCGTGTGCCACCCAGAGGGAGGGCCCTGCAGCAGTGAGCAGCATGGGCCCTGGGATTGCAAGATCGCCCCTTCTTTCTTTCAGTCTCCTGCTCGGGAGCCTCACTGCAGCAGCTCTTCCCAGGAAATGGGCTTAGAGAAGACCTCCCTTTCCAGCCACAGGTCATAGTTCATCTGGAAGTCCTCAGGGAGGTCCACCCGCTGCCCCAGGACGCTCTGCAGGCAGTTGTCCACTGGCAGGAAGTCAGGGTTGCTGTGCGTCCGGTCATAGCGCCGGGCGTTGAAGCGCTCAATGTTGGCACGGAGGGCACACTCCTCTGCCTGGAAGTCCCAAGGTCGGGCATCGAGATCTGGGACAAAGCAGAAGACGTGGTCAGGAGTCAGGCCCTTGAAGCAGTCACTGCGGCTTAGGGCCAGGCTGGTCGGCAGTAGGAAACCCGAGTCCCGTCCACCCTCAGGAAGACAGTTCTCTCCTAGACAAAGGCAGGTGTAGGGAGGAGGCTGGACAGTCAACAGGCACACGTCCCTCTGGGGGGCATCATCTCCCCAGCTCTCTGGGGTCAGAGCCGGGCGCCTCTCTCTTGCTCTCAGTCCCTCAGTCTCTTGCAGGGATCGCCTTGGCTCGGCACACACACAGCAGCGCCCGGAGTGCAGCCGCTCCTGGCCACGTGCTCGGGCTAGCACCGCACCGCACCCTCAAGCACAGGGGATCCGCTCTACCCAGGAGGGGAGATGATGCCCAGAGGGGGATCAGCTGTGCACAGCAGTGGTCAGGGGCACGGGCGAGGCCTGCCGCCAGAGAATAGAACCAGGAGAGGGCAGACACGCACAAGCTGAGCGCTCTGTGCCCAGAACGAGGCGTGAAGTGGGCTGTGCCGAGCTACACCAGATCGTAAAAGGGCAAGAAGCGGCTGTTTAAGTCTGGCTCCAATTCTCATAGGGAGCTAACAAAGGATTCTCTCTGAGGTAACACCAACGGGTTTGCAATTTGAAAAGATCACTGGGCAGCCCTGAGGGGCTGGTGGAAAGGAGAAAACTGGAGGTGGAGAAGCCGAGGAACTGCAAGAGTTCCACAATCAGCGAAATGGCGAGAGAAAAAAGGGGCCAGAGGCTTGTAAAAATCTCTACAAGGCCCTCCCTGGTGGCGCAGCGGGTTAAAGCACTGCACTGAGAAGCTAAAGCCGCTTCCGCATGAGTTCGATCTCCACCTGCCCCGGAGGTGACCACATGGCG